GAAAAATTCGTTAAGTTTTCGATTCTAAAGCTAATTTAGTGGATTTTTGTACCCTATCTGATAAGAGAGCGTGATAAGATAACAATTTTAAGATTTCTTAAATAAAGTTTTCAGATTATAATTATAATTAAAATAGTAAGTTTGGATTATTAAATAGTTAAAGAAATTGCTAAGCCTGAATACGATTCGTTATTTATGCTGATTGACGCTGACGGAGCTACATCTGATTGATGACAATTCTGATTGCACGGACCCACGCGCTACAAACATTTTGCGCATTTAATATATCCTATGTGTATGTGAGGTAAATATAACGTATACTTATAACATATAGTTTTAGTTATAAATCATTCTTTTACTCTACTCAAGCATAAACTTAACCACGTACTTTTCGCCGTGTACGAGGTACGTTGACATAACATGATCTAGCTCATCGTTTAGTGATCTTTGCGTTCAACATCTATATATATATATATATATATAATAAAATATTCATTCTACGCTTGAATTAATTTGTGAAAGAGCATTTTTAATAAGTTATCCGTTTGTTGTAATATGATTTCACAATTGAGAGTATTTCGTCGCTAATTAACTTTAACTTTAACTCGTTAATTAAGAATGAAAATTTATATAGTTTTCAAAAATAACAAAAAAGCTATCGTTTATATCGACAAATGAACAGCGATAGCGATGATTTTAGACGGAGTAACAATTTCGAAATTTTTAATAATAAGAGGCAGAAAAGTAAGTAAACTTTACAATTCCGAGCTAAACACGATCTCTAATCGTATACAGTAAAGTTAATTTCTTACGCCCTCAAATCTTTAACAATACGTATATTTTACCAAAAAAAAAAAAAAAAAAAAAAAACAGTCCGCGATTAATTTATAACATTTTAGCAAAAAAAAAAAGAAGAAAAGATGTATGTTGAACTCGTTGAATTATGAAAGTGCACATTTCGAGATTTATGACTTATTATCACACAATGCGATAATAACATGAAATTTCATTTTTTCCTTTTTTTTCTGTTTTTTCCTTTTTTTTCTTCTATTCGCTAACATCACGATTAATAGACAATTTATTGCTGTGAAAACAGAAAACTTACGTGTGTGTGATTGACAGCAGGTAGCATAACACATAAGAAGCGTTCTTATATGCTTATAAGGGGTGCATAGGGTAGCAAGATCGAATAATGAAAAAAAAAAAAAAAAAAAAAAAAAAAAAACTGGGAAATAAAGATAACAGCAGCTCGTGACCTCCCTCGCCTATGCGAGCAACGGAAATCAATAAATCCGATCAGAGATGAAATTGTGAATCATTGAGACCTATGAGGCGAAAAGTGACGATAGGTGGTGAAGTGCTTTGGAATCAAGGCACACAAGCAACGGCCAATAACGCCAACATTCCTGTAAAAGCCACATACAATAGTTTTAGAGCACTTACGCTAAACCTTTGTTGTTGGGTATCATCTTAAGAAGCGAAAAATTTTTTACTTAAATGTGTTCGCGTCAATACGTCAATGAAAAGCATTTTTGCATCGAATACCTCTCTCTACACCACTTGCTGTACAGGGTATATTAAGTGGGTCGGGGACGTAAGCAAAACTCAGAAAAACTTAAGATAGACCGACCTAAGCTTGTCTTTCTGCCCATCTAACGCAGATAGATTGGACCGGAGCATTTTTCATTCAACATCACTTCCCATATAATGCTTTTTTTCCTTTGAATAGTTTACTTAGTTAACTACACTCGACAAACAATAAAAATTATTACGCATGTACTATACTTTACATAAATGGCAAAAGTGATCTATATATACATATATATATATATTGTTTTTGCTTTAATTTGTTTTTGTATTTAACAAATGTAATTTGGTAAAGTTCTTTACTTTGAAAACGTGTATTTCATTAAAAATTCTTGGGAATGAGAGCAAATAGATATAAAATCAAGCGAATGCTTGGAACGTAATCAAAAAAGTTAAATACAAAATGTTCTTGTTGTATGTGTAGTGTATATGCGAGCAATTTTAGCACAATATTAACAACATCACTGACCTTTCGTTTTAATATTGAAGAAGAACATGAATCCTACTTAGCTACCGTTTACGTATTAAATATCTTTTCATATCCATCACCGAAGGATTAGGGGCTATATTCATTTTGTCAAAACGTTTGCGACGCCCAGAAGTACGCACCGTAGACCTCACAAAGTGCATAGACTCTTGATCAGCATCAAATTCTAAATCGATTTAAGCATGTCCGTCTGTCCGTCCGTATAATACCTGTCGCAAACACTCTTCCGTCCGTCAAAAACCTATCGAGTTTCTTGCGCGCAATTGGTTAGTATTGAAATTGGAGCAAATTGGTCCAAAGACACGCAGAACACGCAGCACCATGTAAACTGAAAATAACTTTGTTTTTCAAAAGGATTGAAAAATTAATTTTTTGCGTATTAAAAAAATTTGAACGCATATTCTATGGGCGATGCTGTAGTATTTGTGTACAAAAATGGAAAAATTTGACCACGTGTACTCAATCTTGCAGTGTATCAAAATTTATTTGTTCTTTCAATACTTTTCTAACGCGTAGAAGCAAAAGATTCTAAATCCCCCTATAAAGTTATATAAATTCTTGGCCAGTTTGGCCAAATTTCGACTGCATCTAAACATGTCCGCCAATTTGTCTGTCCATCTGTCTGTTTGCGCAGCTTTGTAGTATTTGTGGTAAACACTCTCACGTTAATGAAAATTTGCAAAAGATTTTGGAAGTGACTTAGGACGCGACGTCCTACAACGTCCACAACCTACCTATACGACAAAAGCTTTTATTTTGAAAATCGAAAAAAATTAGCTGCGTCTCATCACTCCCCTCCCTTAATATCGAACATAAAAATGTTGTTCTTTGTATTTCTTTTATCTTTTTTAGAATAACAGTCAGTTATGGGTATAAAAGATTCGATTTTGACCGAAGTTAGTTTCTTATGGGATTATTTTCTTCAAATATTTTTATAATCATTAACCGGGGGATATATTAAATTCTTTCTTCAAGATGCAAAATAAGAGATATGAAATGAGTAGAAAAAAACCTATCTTGAAAATCGAAAAGCAAGCTATAGCAGATCGTTGCAAATCGTTGTAGTCATTTTTCCAATGAGAAAGGGACGCGATGCTTTCTGTTGCCTTTATTTAAGTGTCAAATTTAGCCTGAGATAGGGATTAAGAAATTCGGCGTATATTTGAACTTTATTTTGCTTTATTTTAATACACGCGTAGTTATGTGCACCGAAATTTGAGATATTGTGCTGGTGTAGTTAATAATTCATTGATATATTTAGTGGCGCGTAAATGCTACATATGTACCTATGCAGAGAGAGAGACCGATGCACACAAATGAAGCATTGTTTTTGTTACTGTTTATGTTTTTGTTTTCATTTTTTTGCCGGGAAAGGGGGGTGAGGGAGGGAGGGGAGGGGGAATTTATATATTATTTGATTTATTAGTTTGTCGGCCTCTCAAGGTTAACACTTTGATGAGTCCGTTATCGTTTATTTCGTTTTTTTATTTTCTTCTTCCTCTAATTTGGATATGAAACGAGTTCAAGGCTTGAACAGCAACCGCAATACACTTTAATACATGCGCTATCCAAGTAAATGGTGTAATTTTGGACAACATTTTGTTTTTTCATGTCTTTGTTGCTGCTCTATTTGGAAGCTTTAGAATTTCTATAAAGAAATAAATACGTATGTGTGCATAAATTTTTGAAGCTCTATTGGATATTCGTAAGCTACTGCTATCATCAAGAGAAGATCTTGAAAGCGTTAAATTAATTTCTTAGAATAGCCCTAAAAAAATATTTATTCCCTGTAAATATTCAACAATATGAGAGAACGCAAACACGCATGCATATATATATATATATATATATATAGGGACATGTGTATCCATAAAGCGACAGGCAGATAAGTGAGGAATGTTACGGAAGTTTTTTCAAGAATCTTTATTAGACTTTTCTGAGAATCGTTAAAATCTCCGCAAGCAAGCAAGCAAGCAAGCAAAACTTTAAGCTTCCCCTCGCTTTTTTTGCTTATTATTTTTATTTTCTTTATTTTGCCTTTCTTGTTATTATATTATTTTATTTTCTATTTCTTGCCCAAAATAAACCAGATTCCATTGTGAATTTTACAGTCATAACCGCAGGATGGAGGCATACTGTTATTGTTAATTCATTTGTAACATTCAATGAATGTTAATTCTTGGTCAATCAAATCAATTAACGGCATTCATTTTATCAAGTTTATCCATCCATTCTCTTCCATTGAATATCTCATTATTATTATTATTATTATTATTATTATTACTATTATAGTTTTTTACACTAATGAAATAAATTCTTAGACTATTCTAGCCTATGCTTGCTAATATTTTTTTTAGAAAAACATTTAACATAGATAAGAAAGAAAATTGATTCACTAACTATATGGATAAGTTATTCAAGTCAAGTCCATTCAAATTTTCGGTGAAGATATAATTGCAATCGGTCAACCGGCACATCTACAAGCAAACATCAAACTATATCTTTTGCTTTGTATTCGCTTAGGGTAAGCGGTATTCCAAGTGCGTTTCGAAGCAAAAAAAAAAAAAAAAAAAAAAAAAAAAAAAAAAAAGCGGATAAAAGAGTTTCTTTCTCGTTTCAGATTAAATTGATTTTCTTTTATTAGAAGTCAAAAGCAGAAACTTTATTAATTCTTGGGATTTGTGAAATTTTTTAATCAATTTAAAGTAATTTAAAAATGTTCTCAAAATTAAAATTGAAAACAAAGTACACAAGAGGAGTCAAAGAACACCCAACAATTCTATAAATATTATACTAATACATATATACATACCTACATACATTCATATTCATATATACATACATATATATAATAAACAAAAAAAAAAAAAACAAAAAAACAACCAACAATTATTTATTTTTAATATTGTTATTTTCATGAACTTACCTCATTATTTTCCTTTTATTGTTCGGATGTATGCGCTGGGCAGTTACGGGATCGATTTTCTTTAAATGGTTGTACAACAATTCCGACGACATTGTCAGCATTTCACTTTCAGTTATAAATAACCACTAAATAGCATAAAAGAAAACAGCAAAAAAGAAAAAGAGTTAAGGTAACTGTTGCTTACACCACAAAAACATATCATAACAAAAATATTTATTCAGGTAAGGAGGAAAAAAACAAAAAAGGAATGGAAAACAATCTTCAGCGTAAAGAGAAATACATACATTTTCGGAATTCTCAGACGTTGTAGTATTAGCGTTATTGTCGCTCATCGCGGCATTCTCTTCGCTGCTGTCACTATTGATTTTCATATGAGGCCCTCCATCCGTAGGATTGCTAATCAAAATATCCCAAAGCAACGCTTCAATATAGTAGTTAGTGCCACCAACAATTATTGGACTTTTGCCTTCATTTAGAAGATTATTAATCTATAAACGTAATCTGTTAAGGAAAACCCATAAACTTTGCATTCATCGCTTAATTATCATACACCGTCCATGCTGCATGGCGTTAATTATCTATGTAAGATCTCTTTTCTTTTTCTTTTTCTTTTTCTATATCCAAACAGTTTTAGTTATAAGCTTTGTCATACTTTTCATCGAGTGGCGCGATTCTACATTTAATAGATAACTTAAAGATCCGTTACACATATTGTTCATCCCAATAGCCCTCAATTCAATTATCGACAATATTAGACCTATATATATATATATATGTATATATATCAGCATTCCATTGAATGATTTTAAGACATAAAGATTAATTTGAGTAGGCATACTCCATTAAATCAGAAATGTAGATATAGAGAACTAGAATCAAATTACTTGATCAATTTATTGATGTATCTTTAGCAAACAAAAAAAAAAAAAAAAAAAAAAAAAAAAAAAAATCATATCGTCAAGAGTAGAAGAGCGATTGTTCACCATCATCAATATATCTCAACAATAGAAAGCAAAAAAACAAGATACGCAGAGACGGACAGACAAGTTTACATCAGTATAATAAAATTTCGGTCTAACGCAACTCTCGTTCTAGGTATTGCATAATTTCGCGCAAATTTAATATACCCTTGTACAATAAGTGATGTAGGTTACGTAATAACTCTGAAAGATTGGTGCTAGTAAATAATGGATCCATTTGAAATCCGAAAAATTCAATTGTCTTGGTTTTGTTTGGTAAAATTATTTCTCTGGCTATTCTAAGAAGAATAGTTGTTCCGTAGACTTTTAGAAAATAAGAAGAAGATATTCAAAGTGAACGTCGACAGAAACCATTCCGATTTTCCGTCATTTTCATTAATGAGGAAACCATTCAAAACTGGATGCTGCAATTTAGATATGATTCATCAATTTTGTACTTTATTCGAGTTTTGTTCATCAGACCCCCATTTTTATTATATTGAGTGGCGACGAATTAATTAGTTAGTGATGTTAGTGATTGTCCCAGTAACTGCGTACCATTAAGAGAAAGCAATATATCAAATTTCTTTAATCTAAGCACTAATGATGGATTGATTTATTGATATGTATATTGGAAATTTATATGAAAGAAGTTAAAAGAGAGTAAGACTTCAAAAAAAATTTTTTTATTCGTTTCTCGTTACGATATTAAGATGTGGTATCCGGTTTTTAAAGCCATCGGTACTAAACCGAATAGTAGCGAGTAGCCTAATAGACCGGTGCATTCGCCTGTGCCAGCTATAATATTCTCCATGAACATGGCACCATATTTGGCAATGAAGGCGGCTAAAACCATCATACCGTATACAGCATTGTTCTCGTTAGCTGCTAAAAATAACAACGACACAATATTACCCAAAATGGTGAGATCTTTCAGGGTGCGCGTAGAAATATCCTCCGTTTCGGCATTTGGTGATACTTTTGTTAATAAATCGAAGGCCAATGGTACCACGAATAAACCATGTCCCAAAGCTAAAGGGCTACTTTGGTCCGATTTTAAATAAAATTCTATATTGAGCATTGGTAAAGTCATTATTTCAATGCAGCTGCAGGTTAAACGTTTGAAACATGTCGTGCATCTGTCCTCGCATGCTATGCTCTCGACTAGACCGGCGAGGGCATGACAAAATCCAACGGCACAAGCGCAAAATGCATAAGGATGTTGAAACGGTGTTACCGAGACTAAGGCGTGGCCAGTAGTGCCCAATAATATTCCACTGAAAACAGCATCCACCATTTCTTAATACCCGCGATTATCTCGGTTAAAAAGGTAAAATTTCAATTTTGAAAAACTTTTTTGAAAATATTTTATTTGGTTCTTTGAATTTCCATCAAAGAAAAATTATCGAATTATCAAAGACGTGTCATTTCAAGCAATTTTGATTACTAAGTGTTTCCTTAGGCGAAAATAAGTCTTCATGTTTGATATGTGTGTGTATCTTACGCATGTAAAATGATGTGATAGTTAAAAACATTACTCTACGATTAGATCTCTTAGAACTTTTACGGTTTCTGAAGGCAGTAGAAAGCAGTGCATATCTAGAAAGTCGAAAACAGCTCCTTTCACTTTACGCAAAATTATTTATGCCATGCTATTGGGTCATGCTTGGGTCATTGCATATGTTAGCATAGTTAGCATGACACGTATGTAGATTTAATGAATTATCGATATTACGCTTACAGAAGACAAATTTTTGCTACGCTATCTCTCGTCCTAATCATATATATATACATATATATATACATATATATTCTTGAAAATTACATATGCGCAATGGGCGTTCAAGAGGTGTAATGGAGAATGGCATCGAGTACGGTTGTCAAAATTCAAGTCCACAAACACTTTGGACGCACTTTTCAAAGCAATAGCGCATGAAGTAAAAGCTTTCGAACGACGATACTCAATGGGCAGCATTGTTAGCCATAAAAGGCAATAACGTCGAACGGATGAAAAGGAGTTTTATATACATTTTTTTTATTGCACAAATAAAATTTAAATTGATTTCCGTAGTTACCGCACGTGATATTATATAAAATTTAAGTTAGTTTTACAAATTTGTCTTAATTTTTTTTTTATTTTTTAATAAACGAAAAAGCTTTCATTTTAATTTAATTATTGCATAAAAGGGAATATCATTCTATTCATGGAATTTCGATGCGAATATTTTATGGCTGACAGTTCATAATTTTGATCGGGCAGTATGACATCCTTTAGTCAGAAGACCGGGTACGCGAATAAGATGTACTGGAGGTTCGCCAGGAATTTCACACAACACACATCACAAATGTTCTGTTCGTCTAGACTTTGAAAGTTCCTTCTTTTTTTTTTTAGCTTAACGCGTAATATTGTTGTAATTTTCAGAATAAGAGGAAAAAAGTTATTCGCAAGAAATTTCTCTTTAGAATTTCCAGCTCTTTCTCAAGTAATCTCTAAGGACGTATAGTACATATACTAGTCTATGCCCCTTATTAGATCACGGTAAAGCAAATTTATAAAAAGTAGACAAATGAAAAGTCACACCGGCACCTCACAACACCATGTTTTTTTTTTGGCAAGAGATCGCCGTGAAAGACGACCAAGTAAATAAAATGTTCATTAGTAAAAATGTTATTTCCTTTTATTAGTCCTCTAAAATATGATTATAGGAAGAATAAGTATGCAAACAAATACAAAATATATATGTTTATGTACATGTAAAAAATAGGAGGATACAAAAGGATAAAGAAAGAATGAAAAAAAAAAAAAAACATTACTTTACGACGACATTTTTATCGGTTACAGCTTTTGAAGAGACAAAGAAGAAGAGAGTGAAAAATAGCAGATGCATCCTTTCAGTCCAGATGCAGTTCTCGCAATGGCCGTAAAGTAGACTCGCTTGGGCCATCAGATATGATAGCATGACGAAAAAGTACATATAGTTGTCATCAATTACTGATATTACAGTCAGCGAAGCCACATTTATTAGATTGTTGGCGAGCTTCAAGGCTTCTGCTGCCTTGTCATCGCATTCATCGCCAAATAGCTTCACTAGGATATCGATTCCTAGAGGTATTAACGAGAACGCATGTGCGAATGCGTAAAGCGGTTTAGCTTCCAAATATATTTGAATATTCATTAACGGTAGGGGGGCAAAATCCATTAAACTTGTCAAAACCTGATTGACGAGGCCACGCGGATGCTGCGGTCCACGCAATACTCCCAACGAACCGCTTACCAAAGCTACGGCGCACGCAGTAAAAGCATATGGATATTGGTCCGGCGGCATTTTGTAGGTGGCATAGCTAGCCATCGAAAGTAATGCTGCGAAGGGGATCCTTTTAACAAGCATTTCGTTATCGAATTTTATATATATATGTGTGCGTTTTAAACGAGCAAAATTTACAGAAATTTTCTTTTCTTAATATGCTACGTGAAAGTTTAATTAATATGACGCGTTTTCCTTATCAAAATTAAATAAATTTTGAATTTTTATTTTAAAAGAATTGTGAAAAAACAAAAAAAAAAAAATTCAAATTCTAAAAAAATTTTCTTCCGAATAAACCAGAAACGTTCTACGATTTATTTTAGATTATCTAAATTATTAAAATGATATGTCATTACGGAAAAAGCCGAAATACTTAAGTCATTACGAAAGCGATCAGAATACTTGATTTCTATCAATTGAACTGAGTTTTTTTTTTTTTGCTCTTATCTATCAAATATTTTTAAAGTAAAAAAAACTTGAAATTTATTTATTTAATAATATCGGGTAAAGAATGATAGAGCATTGACCGCGAAATGTAGCTAAGCGATTAACTTATAAAATTATTATCTATATATTCAATCGTTAAGGATTATCGAATCCGGAATTAGTTAAATAACTTTTAAGTATTAGCAAAGGGGCTGGCGATCGTAATCAGAAGCGTAAGAATACAATTCGTTCGTCAAGTTCAAGAACTTATATGAATACGCGATTAAGACTAGGCTCGATTAACTACCTAAAACGTGATAGCGACAGCAGGAAACATTTTCATAAATGCATATTTACCTTTTCTATCTAAATGGAGCCGTGAATGAATTTATTTGATTTATGAATCTAACCTAAGAAATGCAAACTTAAATATTATACGTGATGCAGGCAACGAAATGTTTGCAATATTTTCCCGCAATAAACAAAAATGTATTCATATTCAAATACTTTGCTATGCCCTATAACTTTAACTGGGTGAAGTTCAAACGAAGGAGCTTGGTCCCCCTTAATGCATTTCTCATAGTTCATTATATGTTTTTGATGAGATGCTAATATTTCTCAAACATAGAATATTCAGTTAATCAAACGCATGCTCTTGAAGAGGGGGTGGGGGGGAGGGGTGTTTTTAGAAATATACGCCAAAAATCACATACATTATGTACTTTCTTGATTTCTTTTATTATGTCTGCGACCAATTTTACTATCTGTTGAATTGCAATTGTGACAGCAAAATCATAT